CTGCGTTAATAGCGAAGAAAATTAACTTTTTTTTTATGTGGGCACAAAGAGGGATTCATTCGTCAGCGCGCGCCAGCCGCACGATCTGCATTGCGTGTCTGCCCGTTGCTAATAGGAACTAGCAGAGTGCCAGCTAGCTACTCTACAAGTAACGGGGCGGAAGGCAACCTAGAAACGATATGATGTACAAAGTAGAGGAGAGAAATACATGAAATTGGTATACTATGTGGGCACCAAAATTTCCCCTCTCACTCTTGATTTCTACCCCCTACTCTCTCCATATCTCAATCTCTTTCTTTTTCTCCCTCACTCACCCTATTTCTCACTATTTACGTCTCCTTATTGTACCTGCCATCCTTCCCTCTTGCTCATGGGTTTACGAATTCATCCACACATATCCTCCGTAGCGATTCCGCTCGGAGAGAAACATCAAAAAAAATAAACGTTTGAGACGGCGTCCTTTTCGTGTGCGATGTACCATTTAGGTTGGAACTCATCCAGAATTCTCCTCCAGTTGCTAACATTTCTGCTGCTGCACTAAAATCTATAAAACCGAGAGTCTTTATCCCCGTTGCAGCTCTGGCTTCCTGGAATGTACTTTGTACTCTACGATACTCGAAAGTCGTCTATGATCAAGAATCTTGAGCACTCGTTGTACCCTTAAGTCTGTATTTGAGGCTCCCGCAATCGGCAATACGGGCTTTATGCTCTCTACTCAAAATCAGAATCTGAGTAGAGTGGGCTACCCCTTCGAATTTCTCTCTACGAAGTACGACAGTCCATCCACGGCCGACTCTTTCTGACTGCCGATCGCGATGCTTCGCCGGGCCTTCGTTTTTCTGGAGAAAGGATAATCTGGCCTTGGTACATTCGATCCTTTCCTACAGAAAATGCAGAAAATGGAGGTATCAGAGTAAATTCAACATTCCTCGAACAGAGTTAGAATGAAAAAAAACAAGAGCATCTTACTTTCTCCTTGTTCAAGGCAATCTTCACTTCCTCGACTGCTTCAAAGACAGTGCCCATCCACGGGTAGCCTTGCACATCCTTTCGGTTGGATAGAGACTGAGACTTTTCAACGGATCGCATTGTGTAACATATCAGCATTTTAACTCTATGTCGCACCTTTACTTTTCCTGTCAATGTGGATAATTGTCACAGCTTCAAGACATAGAAGGATATTGGATTGTGTTTGATGAGAAACTTGACGAGATTCTAGCGGTAGAAGGAAGCCTCTCGAAACTAAACTATCATGCAAGCTTGAGTCTTGAAGCTAGGAGATGGTGTCATCCAGTGATCGTTTGGGATCTCAAAAATTGTTGATTCACGTCAGCGCTGCAAAACCGCCTTCGTCACCAGTACCAATATAAGGCAACAGATGTATTTACGCCATGCAACAGAAAAGCAGAATTTTGATCACAGATAAAATATTCCATCTCAGCTGGCGATGACCATCCGCAACAGACTGATATTACTATGTGGCAACATATAGGTTTGTCCGTGGCCGGTCAGTAAGAGCAAAAAAAAAAAAAAAAAAAAAAAAAAAGTGGTCGGTCGGTAACCAGATGGGTGGTCGGCGAAAGCCGGATATAGAAGGAATTTGAGGGGTGGTTGGTGAACTACTATGCGCCAGCCCTGGTCGTTTCATATATCCACCCAAAATGCGCTTCATTAAAATTTCATTTTGCAGTTTGCCTAAGTGGCGGGCACCTCTCCTATACGGCGCAGCGGCAGCAGGGCCTACACGTACTGTATTATCTCCGAAAAACACACTAGAAAAGATTCAAGTGGAATCCGAATGGGGATCCACAATTGTACAGGGTCTACTTTTATTATACAGTACTACCTTAAGGGTAGTGTAGAGGAGAAGGACTATGAAAATAACACACGTACAAACTCTGTGAGGTTCTATAGGGAGTAATTCTGGTTCCTCTCATCAGTATATGATTTATAGTCGTCTCATTTAGCCAAGAAAATAAGGTAAGTCATTAAGCCCAAATGAAATTGAGTGTCATTATCTGTAAGAAAAAATGTTGATCAATGAATCTGATGAGCACCCAAAATATAAATGCATAGCAAATACAGTCGGTCCCAAAATATATCGGATGTTTTGCTCCTCCAAATTTGCAATGGCTGTATTCTATAGTAATGCGTTGTATCCAACTAGGATTCAGAACATCTGTGCGGCGGCCAATACACAATGCAGCGGCATTAATTTATTTGAAAACGAAGGAAATAGAAACTTGTGACATCAAAGATGCGATGACATGTCATCCGACATATTTTGAGACCCGGCTCATAAAATATATCGTTTCTTCGAAGGATTGTCGTTTACCCCTTATTGACAGCATACTTTCGCCCTTAATTTGATACTCACTCTCTTCTTCTGCCCCTTTATCCTATCCTACTATGAATCCCTCAAGAGAGAAGCTTTATGCTTTAATTGTGGTGGTCACGCATATAAGCAGGTTGCCAACCGGCTTGGCATAGGTCGGTCAACAATCACAGCCTGGACTAAAGAACTACCAGATGACGTGCTGTTCGCTGTCGAGCATCCACATTCTGGTCGGCTAAGGAAGCTGATGGACCAGGATGCTCACAACTTGATGATTGGTATGAAGCGAAGGACCTATAAGAAATTCAGTGCAGGCTACAGTGGAGTTCAACAAAAAGAACGATAACCCTGTCAGTATCAATACTGTCCGTCTTGCATTAAAGAGGGTTCGTGAAATGGCCAGGAAGCCTATCAAAAGGCTTTGCCTTTAAATCGTAAAATAGTGTCTTGCTTACTATTTGCGCGTGCTTTAGCAGGGTGGAAAGTAGATGATTGGATCCGTGTAGTTTGGACAGATGAGTTCACAATTAAGACGATTCGACACGACTGCGGTCAGTACATTTGAGTCTTTGACAACAATACAAGAATAAGTGGCCATAACCATACAGTGTATGAGTCTCGAATTGTTGGTACAGCCAAGTTTAAAGGAGGAGGAATTCATATTTGCAGCATAAAACCTTGGACCCTCCTCTGTATTCATAGTGTTGTTATCATGCACCCTCCCTTTGCTGTGTACTTCTAGCTCTCATATCGTTACTGGGTCGCCCTTCTCCCCTAGCTCCATGGACAGGTTTCTGCTGTTTTGCAATGGGTGGCTGCGTCTCGCACATCGTGGACGGGTGCACGCCGACGGATGAAACCCTCTTTTGAGGCTCGAAAAAAAGAAGTAACAGGCGCATGCCTTTTATTTGAGCTAATCTAATCATCAAACAGTTCATCCATGAGCTAACGGACGAGCAGCCCGGCAGCGGCTATAGTAGCTCTTTTTTACGAGGCCCAAATGGGATTCCATTCGTCGATGCGCGCCAGTCGCATGTGTGCTTTGTTGCACGAGTCGAAGAGAAATATCACATACTTGTATTTGCTCTCGAAACGCCACCCTCTGATTGTAAACTTTAAAACATTGTCCACCCTCCCACTTTGCGAGGGTTGCGGCAACACTTTAAAGAAGGAGGAAGTACCCAAAATTGAAAGAGTTGTTCGTGTTGAAGAAACACATGTAGTAGGCTAACATTCTACACTAAAATGAAACGGTGCACACCATTTAGACAAGTTGTGTAAAGAAAATTTAATGCGGGGGTTACTACCACCCCTAGGCCTATCAGAACTCCTGACTTGGCTGCAAACTACTTTGGAATTGACCCATTTTAATGCCGAAATAGTATACCAGTTTCTTGTATTTCTCTCCTCTGTTTTGTATATTAGCTCATATCATTTCTGGGTCGCCATCCGTCGCGCCACATGTAGAGCAGCTAGATAGCCCTTCTCAAGTTCCTATTAGCAAGGGCGACAACGCATTGCAGATCGTGCGACCGACGTGCGCCGACAAATGAAATCCCTATTAGGCCTAGTGTTTCTTGCCTGCGAATCCTTTAGCGCAAAATGCTATTAAAAATCACTGTCACGATTCGCAGGGACTATGTAGATAAGAAACACTAATTAGGCCCCGTTTAAAAAAAAAGCGGCATCACTTCTCCATCAAAAGTGAATGAGAACTGGATAATTGACTAGAATGTGTTATTGGTAGCTGAAGGTATGGCTTTCACCTCTTTTGCCCTCACTCAAACGTTTCCTGTTGTCTGCTGCGATGTCGCTATGCTCGCTTGAGCAAAAACCATCGAAATGTAACGTCTCGCAGCGTCCACACGCGCAATAGTCAGATGCCACTGGAATGCAACAATGACTGGACCAAGGGATGTGCTACGGATTAACGTGCAGATTTAGCTTGTAAGTTGTAATACCAATGGGTGGTTTGCAATACAATGATCCCTTCCTTTCCTTTCCTTTTTTATAGCGAAGTTATTTAAAAGTAAAGATCATAGCTTTTTCTCGCCTCAGTTCCGGTTCCATTCTGTGCCATTTCCCCATAATCTGTTCAGGATGTTCTCGTCTCTAGGGATCTTCTTACACTTCATCTTGGCTATGACACCTTGTTGATGGTTCCCAATCCATTTGGATCCTGCATTGCGCCTTCAAGATAAAACTGTGGAGCCATATTCTCCATATATAAACAGAAAGAGTACGCAAGCTCAATGGCAACTCTTTTATCTAGGCTAAAGGGTGTTTGCCAGTACCATGGTAGATGTCTTGTACTCCTACCTTGTAACTGGTCAGTGGATTTTTTTTTCACAGTTGGCCATCGCACTTCGTGCTTGGCGATTTAATTTGTTTGCTTGGAAACAAGGACAATTATAAATCATATACCGAGGAGGGGAACCGAAATTTCTCCCAAAGGAGCCTCACAGAAAATGTGGAGGCCTGGTCGCCGCTGCGCCGTAAAGGAACGGTGCTCTTGCCATTGGTCACTGGAGCAGAACACCCCGTGCGAGCCACGTCTGGCCAAGATTATGGCACGTGATCAGAGAATGCCTTCGTCATGGTAGAGGCAAATCGGTTGGGCTGTGTTTGGTCTACTTAGTGTTCAGAGAATCCCAACGACTAACAAGTTCCGTTAGCACAGTTGGTAGTTGCGCGAGTCTCATAATCTCGAGGTCGTGAGTTCGAGCCTCACACGGAGCACAATCTTTTGTCCTTTCTCTTTTTTTTTATGGGCCTCAAAAGAGGGATTAATCTGTTTGGCAACCCGGTTGTCATGTAATCCTTGACAACCCTTTCC